TATTTTACGTCACCCTTTCCATTGTAAGCCATAATTTTCAGAGGTTTATAGGTCAGCTATTAAAAAAATAATAAACGTCTCTTTTACCAAGAGGGAGCGCTTTGAAACTAGTCGGCTGGTAGGGCCCAGTGTGGGTGCACAGGGAGGCACACAGCCTCGACTTCTTCCACCAAAGCCTGGTCATCAGAAACCACCCCTCCCCATGCCCTCCTGGTTCCAGGGCACCACCCCTTTGTGTTCTCATTTCTCCCTCTCCTCAGAGGCTTCGAGGCTGCCCCCCTCCACTGCAGGTGTGACTAGACCTTGAACATTTTGGGTGTTTTGTGGCAAGACCTAGGGAGACCCTGGTGCAAGGCCTGAAGAAAAGTCTGTAGGACTGGATGTGTCTTGGTGGAGTCCTGCTCCCCACCCTCCACCCCAGCACATCCTCAAACTAGCAGGGTCCTGAGCCCATCAGCTGGGGGCAGAGGGGTTTCTCATGGTTTCCTTTAAACAAGCCTGAGTCTGGGCAGCAAGTCAGGGGCTGTGCTCCCTGCCTGCTGGGGCTATGTGAAGCCCACGCTTGTCTTTCTGCAGCCCCGCAGGTGGGAGGTGATAAATGCAGGGTGCACTGCAGGCCGGCCGCCCCTCCTGAGATAAGGGAACTGGAGCAGGTGGATTTGGGCCAGGCCCAGCCAGGAGAGAGGCTTCCCCTTTTGGATGGACTGGGGATGCCCACTTTGGCCTGCTCTCTCCTGCGTTCTAGCTCTCCAGCTTTTGGGGGTGCAGGAGAAGGGAGCTGGAGGCAGGCACAAGCACAAACAGACTGGAGTTGCAGCATTTTTCGGCCTCTTTATTTAGAACCCGGCGGACGAGGGGCCGGGGCAGTGGTACAGACGGCTCAGGAACCATTTTAACAGATTTGTCTTCAAGTTTAAGATAAACACAGTAATATAAGAGAGCGAGCGAAAGCGCGAAGAGACTGCAAGCTAGATGGGCATGTATGGCAGCTACAGCTTGTGAGTGACCCCTTTCCCCAGAGTCCGCGATGGAAATAAAGTTACACTTGTCAATAACCGGATGTGGGAGATGGATGGTGCCTTTGGCATAACCAATAACCAAGCTAGTGCGTGGCAGAGCGGTCCACGCCTGGACATAAATAGAAAATATAAGTTAGTATAACTTTAAAAACTTTTTGTACAAATATACATGGTTTTTTTATTTTTTCCTTTTTTTTTTTCTTTTTTCTTTTTTTTTTGCACTGAGTTTCAGCAGAGATTAAACATTTTATATAAATGACTCTTAAAGCTTTACACCTTGGGACCAGTGTACCTTCTCGTGCAGAATACATTTAGATATAAAAAGACGTTATTAATACATTGCACAGTTTTCAAAATTTAAACACAAAACCGAACGCTGCTCTGCGGCAGCCGCCGCCGGTTGCTGCTACATGAACGGTCCCAGCCGAGGCCCAGCGCCCTTCCAACGTCCGCTGCCCCGGCAGGTTCCCTCGGGGCTCTTTGGGCTCTAAACTGTGGGGAGAAGGGCGGTCAGGAAAGCCGGCGGGGACCCCGCGGGTCAGCCCCCCGCACCCCCCAGGTGCGCTGTACTCACTTCGCTCACCGCAGCCTCTTGCGCGGGGTCTGCTCCACCGAGCCCACTCCAGGGGCGGCGCTGGGAGCGGGACACGGCGCGGGGACATCGCCCGACGACTTCTCAGGCGCTGATCTCTTGCGCTTGGCGAAGAAATCTGCGGGCGACAGCGCGCGCGGCCGGTCAGGGCGGGGCCGGCCCGGAGCCCCGAGAGGGGGCCAGGAGAGGGCACGGGGCGCGGGCCGGCCGGGGTGGGGGCGCCGTCCCCGCCCGCGCCGAGGTCCGCGGCGGGTCAGCTTTGTTTACGTCGCCGCGCAATGTGCTGTGTAAGCATTTCCCCTTGTCCCGCGGCCAAGCCCCCCGGGGCCGCCGCCGCGCTTAACCCCCTCCGCGCCGTGCTCACGGAGCCCGGCCGCGCCCGGGGAGGGGCTCCCGCGCCAGGGGCGAAGACCGCGCTCCCGGGGGGTCGCGGCCGGGACTCAGCCTCCCACCCCGCCCGCGCAAAGCCGCTGGAGGACATAACAACGGGGCGGGGAGGGGGGTGCGGGCGCAGCCGCGCCCTGAGCGCTGCGGGCCCTTTAATGCCACGGGAGGAGGCGGGAACCCAGCGAGGCCCCCGAGGGCTGGGGGGACCGGCCGGCCGGACAAAGCGGGGCCGGGCCGGGCCGGGGCGGGGCCGTGCGGGGCTCACCGGAGATCAGAGGCCCGGACAGCTTCTTGATCGCCGCGCCGTTGGCGCTGGCGGCCGCGGTGCCGGCCGCGGGACGTCCCGAAATCCCCGAGTGCAGCTGGTCAGCGAGAGGCTCCTGGCCGCGCTGCCCCTGGTTCGCGCCCTGCTCGGCGCTCTCTTGAGGCGCCGCGTCCTGGGCCGGGGCCGGGGCCGGGGCCGGGACGGGGGCCGGGGCCGGGGCCGGGGCCGGGGCCGGGGCCACGACTGGGGCCGGGGCTGGGGCCGGGGCCACGACTGGAGCCGGGGCCGGGGCCGGAGCCGGAGCCGGAGCCGGGGCCGGGGCCGGGGCCGGGGCCAGGACCGGGGCCGGGGCCAAGACCGCGACCGCGACCGGAGCCGCAACCGGAGCCGGGGCCGGGGCTGGAGCCAGGACCGGGGCTGGGGGCGGGGTGGACGGCGGGGCCGGGACCGGGACATTAGGCAGCTGCTCCGGCGCCTCCTCGAGGCCGTCGAGGGACTCAGCGGCCGGCTCGAGGGGCGGGCTGACAGCCACCGCGACCGCGACGGGCCGCGGCGCCAGCAGCAGGCGGCAGCGCCCCACCTGCACCGTCTCGCGGTAGAACGCGGGCACCGAGTCGCTGTCCACTTCGGTCCACTGCAGGCGTCCTGGGCCCCGCAGCGGCATGTCCTGCTGGAAGTCGTAATCCCAGCGGTTCTGGTCCTCGGCGTTCAGCTCGGCCAGGCGGGCCTGCAGCTCGCGGCTCAACTCCTCGTGGTCCACCGGCCCGAAGAGGCTGCGGCAGGCGCTGGTGCGCACAAGTACTGGGAAGGTCCCACGGGCGACAAGACGCTCCATCGTAGATGTGCTGCAGAGGGACGCGTCGGACATGGCCCGGGGCTGCGCGAACGCGGGCAGCGAGAAAGGAGAGGACAGCGAGAAGAAGGGGAAAGGAGAGGAGGGGAGGGCGGAGGCCGGGTGCAAGGGAGACCCCGCGCCGCCCGACTCTGCGTGTGCGAGGGACGCGGCGGCTACCTGGCTGTCCGGTGGTAGACTCTCCTGCGTCGGGTTCGTCTGTCTCGTTCGGCCGGCAGCCGCGCCCCCTCGATGCCTGCTGGCTCGCTCGCTGGATCAGACCTGGCTGGCACCCCTCGAGCACAGCGCACTTGGCCTGTGGAACGCCCAGCCCGCCTGGGCCCCCTTTATACGCGCGGGCCCCACCCCCGTGCGCGCGGGCCCGGCCGCGATTAGCATAATGTAGTATTTTCAGTTTCAACAACACCGCGGCGATTGGCTGCCTCCCCGCTGCCCCGCCCCTCCGCGGCCCGGCCCCAGAGCACCGCCCATTGGCCGCGCGCACACCCACCGGGGGAGGGGCGGGGCGCGCGGCCGGGGCGCGCGGCTGATTGGCGGCCGCGGGGCGAGCGCGCTGTAGCAGGGGAAGGGGGCGGTGAGCGGGGCGGGGGCGGGAGTTAAAGGGCGCTGCGGGCGGTAACGTGACACCGCGACGCCCCGCCCCCTCGCCCCATCCCCCCTGCAAACCCCCCCCCCCGCTCCCGCCCCCCGCCGGCTCCTTTGTCTGCAGGCGGGGGCCTCAGCCCTGCGCGGCAGGGGCCGGCTCCCGGCGGGTCCAGTGTCCGGCCAGGCCCAGCTCGACCCCGGCCCGGTCCGGACCCCAGCTCCTAGCTCCGTCCCGCGCTCGCCCCTGGGCCTCCTGCGCCAGCTGACAGGGCTTGGACCCGCCGCTGCCAGCTCGGCCCTGGCCTGCGCCGGATGGGGTCTTCGGCTGCCCCCGCGCGGCCTGCTGCTGCTGGGCTGGTGTCCTTTCGAGGGCTCCGCGCACCTGGAGCCCTCACACACCTGCTGGCCCTAAAGCCCTCGAGTCGGGAGGGAGGACAGGGGTCAGCTCCACTCTTTCCCCGTGGGACCATGTGTGGGACACCTTGAGAGACTCCCACCAGCCCCCTGGAGCTGGAGTCTGAAGCCGCTATCTGCGGAGGTCCACCCTGCCCAGTAGATGGAACAGAGGCTGAGCCCATCATGTCACTGTCGGGGGTCCCAGCCCTTCTCAGCCTTGGGCCGGACCACTCCAGCCCCGGAATCTGCCTGTCCAGGCTAGCTGGAGGCAGTTGTACTGGGTAAAAGTGAAAGATCTGCCCGAGGTCACAGGGGAAGGGGCTGTGAAGAAGCATGCCCCTCCCCCGCCTGCAGCCCTTCCTGGTACAGACCTTGGTCGTGCGCACACGCACACACACACACACACACGCGCGCGCGCGCACACACACACACACACACACAGTGCTTCACCCCAGCCAGGCCAGACCAAGAGAGACCATTATTTCCCGCTGCCTCCCTTTTGACCCACTTACCATGAGGCAGGAAGCCCCCTCCTGAAACCGGGAGCCTCCCAGGTCGGGAGGGGGACTGTCAGACACCTGTTGGAGGGTCCAGCAGCCCATGAGCTCTAAGCCCCTATCTCAGGTGAGCCTGTGAGCCAGCCAGAGAGACATCTGGGAGGGAGGGAAGGTGAGGTCCCCTGAACCCCAACCAGCCTTCCTCTGAGTCCCAAGACACCCCCACCCCCATGAAATGCTGTGACATCGTGCAGATGCAGCTGGGGGAGCAGGGCTGGTCTTCTGGGTCTTGGGGAAGAGAGATCTGAAGTGAGGGGGGCGAACTGGACAGGACAGGGTGTTAACCCAGGAGAGGGGCCAGAGCCACTCTTGGCTCTTGGCAGAACCAAACGCGACAATTTATGTTAATTTCATATTCTTCTCTGCGCACAATTTACAAATTTCCTTCAACAAGCACAGATGTCACAATTTTCATCTTAGGAAAACAAAGAGAAGCTGAAGAAGGCTCCCCAGGCCTTGCGAACCCATCAAGCAGGGCTCATATCAACTGGCCTGGGGGCAGAAAGAGGCAGAGTCTAGTCTGCTCCATGCCCCTGTGCCACCACCTCCCCAGAGACTAGGAGCAAAGGGCCAGAGTGGGTAGTGACCTAGTGGCGCCTGGATACCCACACTCCAACCATCAGGACTAATTGGCCCTGGTGACACCCCTCAGAGGGTGTAGCTACCATCATCCTGTGTTAGAGAAAATCAGCAGAGACTCCGCGTCAGCCGCGGAGGCCGCACAGCTGGAAGGAAGCAGGCTCGGAACTCCCAAGCTGCCTGGCTTTCTGGTTTGGTTTCCATTTAGGTTTCCTACTTTTATTTTTCCACTTTACCAGCTTAATTACAGAGTCAAACCCAGTGCTGTGGGGACTCCTCTGTCTTGGCTTCATTAGAAGGCGAGAGGTGACCTGCTCTAAGTCTGTCACTCTGAATTTGATCAAGGATGGTACCTAGTAGCTTATTAAACCCGCACATCCCAGGAGCAGGACTGCATCCCCCCAGCCCGAGCCAGGGACACACCTGGAGGAAGGCACCCCAGGAGCTGGGGGCTGGGAGTTCCAGGCTCTGAGAGGAGGCCCAATGGGCCCAGAAGCAAGCAAACATCTGTCTGGGTGACAATCAGGCTCTATTTTTGTAATTAAAAATGTATCCAAAGGGAAAAAAGAAACAAAAGGAACAATATTTGTACTCTATGTTGCTGCAGAGAGCAGAACTGCGGAGGGGGTGCTGGTCCCAAGGGGTGGGCTGGGCTGTGCTAGTGCCCCAAATCCTGCAAGCGCAGGAGTAGGGGGGGCCTCTGAGGGGGGTCGTGAGTTCCGGGCCCTTGTGTGCATGTTCACGTCCTGTCATTCTTGCCCCCAGCGGAGAGAGCAGCAGAGGAAAGGCAGTACATCCACCAGCCTTTGCATTCTCCTCGGAGCACACAGACATTTTCCTGCTATCTTGCACACAAGTGGGCCGCGGGACTCGTTTTGGCCGGGAACGTTGTCAGGAACTCTGTACACCACTTCCAGGCGGTCACGTCCAAGCAGCCCAGGCAGTCAGTCCTTCTGCGCCCTCTGCTGGCCAGATGGAGGCTCCAGACCCGGCGGGGCCATCAGGAGAGAACAACTGAGTGCCCTCTGCACACTGCATTGCCTGTGTTGGGCACAAAGAATGAACTTTTATTGCATCTTGACCCACTAGAAATGCAGGCTTGTCCATCACAGTGGGGTGTTACATACCCTAATATGTAGGGAAGGCATAGGTAGATTTCAGTTGGCCTTTTACAGATAAGGAAACCAAGGCTTGAGAAGATTCAAGCCTTTCTGCAGCCGGGGCTCACACCTACACTCTCAATACTTTGGGAGACCAGGGCGGGTGGTTCGCTTGAGCCCAGGAGTTCCAGACTAGCCTGGGCAACATAGAGAAACCCCATCTCTACAGATATTTTAAAAATTAGCTTGGTGTGGTGGCACGTGCCTGTGGTCCCAGCTACTTGGGAGGCTGAGGTGGGAGGACTGCTTGAGCCCAGGAGGTCAAGGCTATAGTGAGCCGTGATTGTGCCACTACCCTCCAGCCTGGATGACAGAGCGAGACACCCTCTCAGAAAGAAGAAGAAGAAGGAGAAGGAGAAGGAGACAACGAAGAAAACAACTTGCTGCACAAGCAGCTAAGGCAGGATTAACCTGCAGCCCTCACTGCTTTGCGTTCCTGCTAGGAAAGGCCCAGAAGCCAGAGAAGCCTAGGTCCCTATCCTGGTGGATCTTCGTGCTGGAGTCATTAAACCAGCTATTTCCCAGGGGCCACCCATGGGCCAGTCCTCACCACAACCTCATGGGTGGTCAGTCAATGTTGTGGGCCCACTTTACAACCGAGGAGATAGAGGCTTCCAGAGGCAAACACACTGGCCCATGAGTAGCAGAGCCGGGGTAGGCCCAGGAAGCCCTGTCCTCAGCCACATGTGCTTTCTGGCGGGTGACCTCCACTCCAGTGCCTCCCTGGCTGCCTGAGGCCTCCTGTTCCCGGGTGTGGCAGCTGTACAGCTGCCTTGTCGGCATGTTCATGGCCCCATCAGGAATGTGTGCCGCAGGTGGCTTCACAGGGCTAAGAATGCCTGTCCTAGGTCAGGCCCAATCCCTACCCAGAGCCCCAGGGAACCCAAATTCTGGGACACAGGACACCCGGCCGGCGGGCCAATAGCCCCTATCAGGAAGTGACCAAGGACAGGCCGGGAGCTTTTCTCTTCCCTCTGACCCATGGTGAAACCTGCCTCGGGCCTGTTCCCTGGGTTCTGAGGCCCTGAGCTATCTGTCTTCAAACAAACGAAGGCCTCAAAGAATGTTCTATTGAGCCATGGGCCCCATATCATCCATCAATCACAGAGGGCTGGAGAATGCAGGCACAGGGTCAAGGTGGGTGGAAGGTGAGGGCTGGACACCACCTGAATCTGTGCTGATCCAGGGCCCACTAGAGTCTCCGGGTACCCGGAGCCTGCCCTCAGCAGCACCACCCTCCCACAGCACCCCAGGGATCCTGCAAGAGGTGTCTGTGCCCTTCCCGGCTGCCTCCCCAGCTGCTCTCCAGCTGGTGCCCTTTGGAGAGGGATATGATAAACAATGACAACACTCGCTGGCTTCATCTTGTTCCTGCTCAGGGCCCTGCCCTAACCCAGGGTTAAGCTCATTGCCTCATTTAATCCTTCCGAGACCCCTGAGAGGGAGGTGTGCTCATGCCCATTTTGCAAGGGACGGGACTTAGGCTCCCAGAGGTTAAGCCACCTGCCTGAGATCGCTGAGACTTGAGGTTGGCTCTGCCTTTCACCCAGCCTGAGCCCCTCCATAGGACTTCTGTGCAGGAACAAGAAAGCAGGAACGGAAAGAAGTCAAGGGCCCTGGGAATCTCCCCTGACATCCCCCACCCCAAGCACTAGAGCCAGGGCTGGGCATCTGTGCAGGATATAACCCTGCCCAGGGATGCCTGACTCTGGAAAGGCCACCCCTTTGGCCTCAAACCACATCACCCAGCAGCAGGTCCTCAGACCAGCCCTGGACAGGAGCTTGACTGGCTCTGCCCCCAAAGGCCGGAGAGACCCCTGCCCCCGCTGAACCTCCACCTTCCCATCCATTAGATGGGGTGGGGAGCCATCCAGCCCAGAGGCCCCAGGGGCATGGGGAGTGACAGATTAACCCAAGGCCCCCCCTCCCGCAACAGGCAGCTCAGCACAAACTTGGCGGGGGGCCCATGCTGGGCCAGAAGAGCTCCCCCGCACCAGTTTCCCGCGCAAGGCTCACCCCGCCCCCCAGGACAGGCTGTTCTTGGAGCGGCTGCCAGGCACGTCCTCCGCAGGTGCCGGCCTCCCTCCAGTGACGCGGCCACATGCGGCACAAGCTCCGATTACAGGGACGGCCTTGTGCTGGGGGTTCGGCCGGGGGTCCTCACTCCCCAGGAACCGATGGGCGGAGCTGGGCAGGCCCTGAGGGGAGGCACAGTGGGAACAGGGAACAGTCACCCCTGCTCCAGAACAGGTCCAGGGGCTGCTTCCCTTGGGGTTTGGAAGAGAGGGACCCCACTGATCCCAGCCTGCCTGAGACTTTGCTGGTTTCGGCACTGAATGTCCCAGGAAAGCGAGGGCCACTGGTCATCCTGGGCTCCACACGGCTCCTTTCTGGGCTAGGAAGGGAGCTTCCGGGCTAGGAAGCAGGTACCGAGGAGGGTCTCAAGGACACGTGGGGACCTATGTCAGACGCCCCTGCAGCCAGCTCTGAGCTCACCAGGCCTTTCCTCCTCTCCCTGCCAACCCACAGGACACAGACACAGGGTCCCAGGCCCAGTGGCTCACTTCATCAGGGAAACAGCAGGACAAACAAATGTGGTGTGAGCAGGTCTCCCTTCCCACCAAGCCCCCTGACTCTGCTGGAGCTGGGGGAGACCCCTGTGACCAGCATGCCCTGCGCACAGGTTACACCAGGGCCCCAAGGCCTCTCCAAGCCACTCCCTCCCACCCTGCTTTCCACACCCAAGCCACAGTGTTCAGAGAAGCTCAGGGCCTATTCGAAATGCCAGAGAGTGGGGATGCCTCCAGACGGGTGGCATGAGGGCCCCCAGATGCACCCCACCACGCCCTCCTTCATGCAGGAGGACAGGCCTGCAGTTACTGAGGAAGCCCCACCCATACTGGGCCCTTGGGGGTGAAGGGGCTTCCCAGGCCTTGAGGGAGACTTGATTTTAGATGTCAGTCAAAAGCGCCTGCTACATGGCGTGACCTCTCTGAATCTTGTTACTTTCCTGTGCAGGAAACTGAGGCCCAGAGAGATGGAGTGACTGGCCCAGGGTACCCCAGTAAGTCAGACAATGAAGCCACCTCCTGCCCTGGGCTGGTGTCCCGCCCCACTGACCTCCAGGGTCAGAAAAGGAGGGGAGCCCCCATCACTTCACTCCTTCCTTCTTTCCTTCCTTCCTTCCTCCCTCCCTCCCATTTTCCACCTCCTCCTGGCCGAGTTTTGAAGCCAGGGCAGTCGGCCAGACCCAGCACAGAGGCCAGGAGGTGACGGCAGGCCTGCCCTGGCCGCCTCCCAGGTGGCTGCGCCCCACAGGCGAGGGCTGCTCAGAGTAGATACTCGACCGGGAGGTTGCCTGTGCCCCTTTCCCCAGCCACAGGGGCAGCCACTGGAACCTGGCAGCCTCAGGGCTGAAGCTGGGCGCCTGAGGGCTAAAGCTGGGCGCCTGCTGCCCCCTGGCGTCCCGAAACGGCACAGCCACCAGGACCCCCACCCACCTCATTCATGCCTCACACCTGGGGGTGACTTGGGCCAGGGCCTTGCTCTCTGACCCCAAGTCCCCTCAAGTCTAAGATGGGGGCTCTACCCAGTGTGGCTCCCCAGGCTGCAGTGGGCAGGAGTGCATTTTTCACAAAACCCTAACCCATCAGATCTGGGGGTGGGGCGGTCTCAGTGGCACCTCAGTGGGAAACAGCACGTGGACCTCGCCCGTCTCTAGGGAGTGGGGGAGGGGAGACAAAGAGCCCGCTCTGCGGAGAGGTGGGTACCCGCCCTGCCACCCCTCCCCCGTTTCCTCTCTGCTCCCTCTGCCCCTCCTCCCCTCCCTCCTCCTTCCTTCCCTCCTCATCCCCAGCTCCTCCTCTTCCTCTTCCTGCCCTGTCCCCCCGCAGGCCCGGCCGGCAGCCCGGCGCCCTCTGCCTTCGTTCCCGCCACTGGCGCTGCTGCCCGGAGCCCCTAGGTGACAGCTAGCCCCCAAGGCGGCAGCCTGTCTGTCGGGCCTGCACCTGCCCACTGCGTGGTCACTACCTGGGCACGTATGGACACTCACACCCTTCAGTCCTGAGCACAACTGTGCTCTGGCTGCTTCAGAACAACAAGGAATCATAGTCCCGCTTCTGGCTGGGAGCTGGGGGCCAGCAATCAGGGCAGCTGGGGAAGTGGTTAAGGAGGTGGCAGCACACAGGCTGGGCTCAGAGAGTGAGCAGAGATGGGCCTAGGGGAGGGGGCTGGAGAGGGTTGCAGGGCTTGGGGCTGCAGCTCAGGAACTGGCTTCACCTTGGAGGCTATCAGACCTGGTCCTCAGCATTGGCCCAGCAAGGGGAACAGCATGGGGAACAGGGGACAGGCACTGCCTGGCCAGCAGCAAACATGTAGGCTATGGAGTCGGGCAGAGCATCTGCCTCGTACTAGCTGTGTGTCCTTGGGCAAGTTGCTTAACCTCTCTGTGCCTCCTCTTGCTCATCTGTAAAGTTTCTGATGAGGCTTACAGGGCAAGTCAGTATGTGCCTGGCACAGCGGCCTTCTTCTTGAGGACACCACTGCCCTCACCATCACCAGCGTCTCCCTCCAACCTACAGGGGCAGGCAGGGCAGAGACCTGCCACTGGCCACACCTCCAGCTGTGATGCAATGAAAACTGGACATTCACTCTATACCCAAGGATGTGGGCTCCGGGGAGGAAAGGCACCTACACCCCCTTCACGTAAACAGGCAGGCAGGGTGAAACAGGTCTGGTTTGTTTGTTTATTTTTGAGATGGAGTCTTGCCCTGTTGCCCAGGCTGGAGTGCAGTGGCTCGATCTTGGCTCACTGCAATTTCTGCCTCCCAGGTTCAAGCAATTCTGCCTCAGCCTCCCAAGTAGCTGGGATTACAGATGCCC